CATGCAGTGCAGGTCATTTTTTTTGAAGATTCTGATAGTTACCGGTTATAAGTCGAATCCCGGTTGTAAGTCGAACCCACCCTTTTTCCGTCTATTTTAAGTCGTAAAAGGTCGTTTACAACCGGAAAAATACGGTAATTGTTTCCGTCATAAAATACCCATCATCAGAAATGAAAATAGCAACAAGGACGTCAATAATGAATTTGGGCATGGTCACCACTGGGAAAGGTTTGATAATGCACAGTGCTGTGGGGAGATAATATTCATTCATGCATGAACTATGGAGAGAGAGAAAAAGAGGTTGAGGAAACATCAGAAACAAACACAAAACTGGTACAGCAAAAGCATGATGCGTGTATTATGTACATCTATGAACTCGGATGGAGAGCCAATGATTATTTATGCAAAGCAAAAAGGGCCAAGACACTACGAGTTACACTATAATGTCCACTAGCACCACCAGTTTATTTATTTTTATTTTATTTATTTATTCACAATCACGTGGCACTAGCCAATGAAATGGTGATGTGGGCGATAGCCAGCCATGGCGGTAATACAGCTAGAGGGGGAAAGAAAAAGAATGAAAGGGGAACTGAAAAGCAAAAGAAGCTAGGGCAGGGCTGGATATCAACTAGTATGTTGCATTCTGCAGTAGCTGTGTGAATGTATTGTAACATTGGCAGGATTTTAGATGTTGTGGGAGGAGAGACCAATGGCGGTAAGCAAGGAAGAGAGGAGATGTTTGCATAGAGGCAGACCGCGCAATAGGGAAGCGGAGAGAGTTTCTGGTGCGCATGTCTTGAGATTGAGCAAACCAGCTTAGGCAGGAGAGAGCATGAAGAGGAGCAATGCCCAGCTTAATTTTATGAATTGTCTGGCATGCCAAAAAACGCACGCGGACCGAGAGCGGCACAGCAGAAGCAAGGCGGTATAAGTCTGCGCTTGGAGTCAGGCGAGGAAGCCGAAATAATATTTTCAAAAGACGCCTATGCATAACTTCGAGTCGAGCAATCAGTGTTTTAGAAATGCCAGCCCAAATTATGCAGCAGTAATCAAAAATAGGCAGAATGTAAGATGTGTAGATAACATGGCGACAGTCGGTGTGCAGGTGGGTGATGTGTGATGAGAGAAATCCCATTACTGAGCTAACACGGCTGTCTAAATTTTCGATCTGGGATTTCCAGGTTAAGTGTTGGTCAATAATGACGCCAAGATGCTTGTGTTTTTCAACGATGCAGAGCGGGGTTGTGGTGCCTGGAAAGGTGAAGGGACTGGTTACTAATGAAGATAGGTCACAGGAACAACTGGGGGGGATACACATTACAGCAGTTTTCGAAGAGTTGGGTTGCAATTTCCATTTTTCCATCCAATGAATAACGCCATCTATGTTGGACTGTAACTTGGCACTAGCCTCGGGGAGAGTGGGTGCTGTCACAAGTAGTGCTGTATCATCAGCATATAGTGATGTGTGATCCATTTCTGCCAGATCGTTTACATACATAAGGAAGAGGAGAGGCCCCAGGATTGATCCCTGAGGAACTCCAGACCGTACATGCCCTTTGGCAGACAGAGCAGAGCCGACACGCACCCTTTGCTGTCTGCCCGTCAGGTAAGTACTGAGCCACGTGAAGCAAGTACCATGGATTCCATGGCGGGACAGCTTGTATAGGAGCCCGCGTGTCCATACGGTGTCGAAGGCCTTGCTTAGATCAAAGAAACATAGCATGCTGTAATGGCCGTTCTCACGAACAGAAGACATCGATTGAACAAGTCTGAGAAGCTGCCAGGACGTAGAGTCGCCTTTTCGGAATCCAGACTGGGACGGATGTAGAACAGGAGACAGGTAAGTGTATAAGTGGTTGTACATAATACGTTCACACAGCTTGGAGATTGTTGACAATAACGAAATCGGGCGGTAATTCGATGCATCGAGCTTACTTCCCTTGTTCTTAAAGACCGGAGTTACAATTGCGTGTTTCCAAATAGCAGGGAAAGCACCAGTTGCAAAAGTGAGGTTAAAGATGAGGCTGAGAGGGTATGCAATACTGGAACAAAATAGTTTCAGGAGTTCATGAGAAATACCGTCCGCTCCCGCAGCCTTTCGGGTCTTAAGGTTGCGGATTTGCTTTGCCACAGCAAAAGGCGTGGTGGTGACATCTTGCAACGTAGGTGTAGTTCTTCCACGTGATGGGGCGTCGGGTGGCTTGAAGTCTGGCACATTCCATGAAGGATCATCTTGTGTTCCAAAACCAATAAACTGTTCGTTCAAAGCATCTGCCACATCCACAGGGTCAGAATATAGAGTACCAGCGACTGAGAGCTGAGTTACAGTCGTTCTGCTGTTGCCTTGGGGAGATCGAAGCTTCCGGACAAACTGGAATAAACTTGGTGATGCGGGTCTTGCCGTGGATGCACTTAGGGATGAGATGTACAGTCGATGGGCAGTTCGAGACATATTGCGAGTAACGTTTCGCTCTCGTCTGTAAATAGCGAAGTTGTCAGCCGAGGGAAACTTTCGGTAAACACTATACGAATCTCGTTTTTTCTTTATTTGATGTCGGAGGGTACTGGTCAGCCAGGGGGGGTTCATATGGATACGCTTGACAGCCGGCGGCTTCTGCCTGGGCAGAAATCTTGCACAGATGTTATGGAAGATAGAGTAAAAGTTGTCCACAGATATGTCAGGATCGCGCCTCTCCAGGCTCAAAGCTGCTGGCCAATGTATGTGGGACATGGCAGTATTCATACTCGCGACAGTGTTGCTGTCTAGAGAATCCAAAGAAAATACACTAAAATCAGGGACATCCAGGGGAGTCGAACGGGCATCACGAGAACGGTATGTGGGCATTTCTGGGCAGGGTACAGTACGAATGTGGCCAACCACGATAGAATGATCGGATTGACCAAGTGGTGCTGTAGCACGGAGGCAGGATATAGAGTCCGGTATATCAGTGACAACTAGGTCGAGAGCTGCCCCCATGCCAGACAATGACTCATGTGTTGGAAAATTTACGAGCTGCGTGAGAGAGAACATGCCGAATAGACTGTGAAGCTGGCGACCAGCGGCATCCGTGGTAGTTCCATGCCAATGACATGACTTAGCATTAAAGTCTCCCATCAACATGATAGATGTTGTTCGGTTCTTAAGAGTACTTAGACAGTGCTGGAGGGAATTGCAGAAGGTGTTGATACTTGATGGAGTAAGGGCTGGGGGTCGATATACTGCACCAATAACCAACTTCTTCACATGAGGCGCCTCTGGGAAATGTATGTTAGCAGATGACAGGGCTATTTCCACCCATGTGGCTTCCAGGAGAGGGATACTGAGGTCAGATCGATGGGTGACCTTTGGAAACATCCCAGACCGTACCATGATACAGACGCCGCCATATGCATGGGTGGCATCGGTAGCTGACCTGTTTTCATCTGGCGGACGATCTCGGCGAAAACAGTCATATCCAGGGACCGTGAAAGACGACTGTGGAGAGAGCCATGTTTCCGTTATGCAAACAATGAGGGGTTTAACTGTGGAACAAATGTGAGCCAGCTCGGCAGTCTTGTTCTTAATGGACCTGGCATTGATGCACATTATAGGCTGTGATCCTGCGGTTGGCTGTGAGAGTGGGTAAAAAGGCTGAGCTAATGGATTAAGTGTGCTGTTAGTAGTAATGTTTGGGGAACAGTGAGGAAGTATCGGGGGGTTGAGGTTCATTATTGTGCAGACTGATCGACGGTTGTGTTGTCAGCTGTACTTATTCTGTCAGCCTTGAATCGCCATTCTCGAGCTGTCACTCCGTCAGGCCAAAAGTCAGTGTTTTGCACAGCTTCCCAGTCATCTTCTGTGACGACTACGTGCGCGTACGCTAGGCCAAAGTACTTTGTCTCAGAGACGGAGCATTTCAGTACAGTCACTTGCTTGTTTTCGCACCATTTTGCGATGGAGGAAGCAGAGCAACCAGGGTGAATTCTTCCAACATGAACAGCTTTGCATTTGGTACGATGGGCACTGCGCAGTTGCTCATGTTTGCGGGGTGGGCGCTGGTAGTATGAAATGACGTTTGTCCGGAGGGCTTGATCAGTATGTGTCCCCGTATTGGAGGTAGCTGACTGTGTCATGGGAGAATGCGATGGGAAGTGAGCTTTGGGACGGTTACTAAACAATCAGCTCATGCGATAACATAGCACGACATTGACCGACGGCACTGACGTTCTACAACTAACTGGCTAGTAATGTTATCACATGAGCTGATTGTTTAGTAATTGATGGTGTTAGTGGGCATTATAGGGTAACTTGTAGTTTCTTGGTCCTTTTAACTTTTTATAAAATACATGTGCACATTATTGCGGGTGCTGGCAACAGCAGTTTATGGAAGTAGACAAATAATTCACTATCCGAGAGAAGCAAGTACTGGGCCAGTAATTTGTATCAGGAATGCCTTTACAGGAGGTTCAATCCTGCGTTGGCTTTTATTCTCGGGCCCATGTCCCGAATTTTGATCGCTTTGCATATCCTCCTCCTCCTGGCCCGATGCGACTAAATTGCAAGGACGCGAACCTCCATATTATGCTGAGTCACCAATTGGCAGTACCTCCCTGCTATGGTGAAGCCAGAAGGGCACATACTTTGGTAATCTCAGACATGGTCTCTTTTGACGCATAACATTTCCTGATTACTAGTAGTAGTACTCTGTTCAGAACCTGAACAAACTGTTAGGTCCCCATCTTCTGCATACTGTTTCTTAGTAAAAATTCTCTTGCTGGTCTGCACCCAGTACACAAAGGTTGATGAGTTCCAGCTTAGCAGATGCCTGTGCACCTGTATTGGTCATAGGCACTCAGGCCTTTTATCTAAATTGTAGCTCTCTCCCTTGCTCACTCTCACTCTCCCTCTCTCTCTCTTTTGCCGTGATCAATCATGTAGTCGCTTGTCTCTCTGTCCCTTCCCTTGTTGTTTCCCCAAAACAAAATATCTTCAACGTTCTCACCTCTCCCTACTCCAGGCTCAAGAAACACCATTGCACGAAGCCTGTGAATACGGCAAGCCGGAGGTTATAGAATTTCTGCTTCGAACGGGTTCAGATCTTCTTGCCTTGTCAAATGTAAGTCACACTTTTAGTTAAATTGGCAGCGTGAAAATAACAATCATAATATGCCAATGAATAGAATCAAGTGCGCACTCGTATCATAAACATTGCAAGCAAACATGTTTTAACTTAAAGGGGAACTCCACGGAAAATGAAACTTTCATATCCTGTAGTCTCGGGTGCTGACTCGAATGGTCTTGGTCCGAAGTCTCTACGGCAAAGCGTTCTTGAGATATTGGCAAGAACGGGGGCCGCGCCGTGACGTCATGCGGCCATTTGGCTATGTCATCCCGGCCTGCCTACGTCATTGTGGCACGGTCTGGATCTAGGTGCACTATTTTAGTATTACATTTCAAGGAAAGATGAGCTATTCCGAACAATTCTTTGTACCCAGCACTGAAAGCAGCGATGCTGAGGTCAGTGAAGACCACCATCAACCCACCGCCGCGTATGGTTGGGACAGGGAGCCCAGATACTCTGCTAAGGAGCTGCCATCGCGTGTAACAAATGTGGAGGAAGAAGATGCCTCAGCAGCTGCGTTCGACAGAAGAAGACGAATAGCTTGGCCACCAGACTCTCGATTCGTTTGGGACTCCAACTGTTGCGAGTGTGGACAAAAGTGTATAGCCATGCCCAGCCCGCGGGAATGATTTTTCTGGTAGGATGCTGCCGTCGCTGTCGAGAAGACGGCCCAAGGTTTCTTGCGTAGCGGACCTCGCAGTTTACGAGATCGTAACCTTGCATTAGGCTGTACCCACCACTGGTCTTCGAAGTTATCTCGACATGCAGAAGCCGCCAATGCCAGTGACAGAATAGTCTGAAATTAGGTAAGCCTCAATTAGTTTGTCTTGACTTGTCTTGTGAGGATCGCGCATCAATATGATAAGAGAATCTTTTTTGGAAAAATTTATTGTTGTCAGGTGCACTACAGTAGGCGTCGCACAAGAAAAAAATGTACTGGTAGTTATAACAAATTTCATGCATGACACAAACAAATTCTCTTTGCTCCGAGTATGTCCTGACTTGCCTTGTGAGGATCGATGCGCGTAATGTTTTGCGTGCAACTTACTTATTGTTGTCAGGCATGGCACGAAAAACGTTGTACTATAGTGCTAGTAGTTATCACATGTTTACATGCGTGACTCACACACATTAATTTTGTGTTTCATTATCCCTGGGATTGGTACAAGATCTGCAAAGTATGGTAGTGTTCTGTTGGTGAAGAGAGCACTGAACACAGTTTATGAGGACGATGCGTGCATTTGATCACACCCGAACCCAGACTTTATCGGTTCACGCAATAGGCTTTGTCAATACACCCGTTCTCTAGTATACCATGTCATGCAAAGTACAAGCGTGGGGTCAAGAAAGCGTACACCAAAATAATGGACAAAATCTGGCAGGAGAGTAAGACATCAGATTCTGTACTTTCTGACCAAGACATCTTTGTACTAGTAGGTAATCGAACGTGTCCTAATCAGAATTCATCAATCATTGGAAAGTCTGCAAGAACCTCCATCTTTGTACCAGTGAACACTAAATTGTTATGGCGCGCGCACTGAACGTGCAGGTAGGTACAGGTAGGTGTAATTCAGCGCATATGTAGAGTAAATGAGTATTTGACTATAGTATAGTCACTATACCATACCATAATAATTATTCCAGCAATGTGGTATGTGTACAAGCACTCAGCATACACACTCCGCATGACATTCTATGTTTCTGTAGATCTCTACGCTATGCGGCACACAGGCAGTACACACTGTATGTACACGGCAAATTGGGCAAGCACGTTTGTTGTCGTCTTCCAGCCTGCGTTGTGAATACCATCATGCAAAGATATCCAATTCCTGCACCACCTCAGCCTTCTCAGGACACTTCCACCCGGAATTAGGCAGGGAACGCGCTTCTCCAAGGCAGGAACATCGAGGTTGCCATTTGCAACCGCTACCACCTCACACATGAGCTTGTCACCAATCTCATAACTCTTTCTGTCGTATAATTATCTATTTGGCCACATAGTCTTCTTTATGCTGTGAGAACTGGACTTCATACCTTCCTATTGGGGTCTTTTCGGTTGACATTTGACATTGACGTCGTCAAGAGCTGCGAGATGTGCGTGTCCACTCATCCCCAGAATTCAGAAATGAGTGCGTTTCAGAATGTATTTTGGCATGGCACTGTGATATACCTGCATGGCGAAAAGAATGTCGAGAAAACACACTTGCTTAGACAATATACTTCTATATGTGTTACAAACCACCAGTTCTCAAGTGGGAAAGGCCTTCTGGCTTATGACATTGTATTCTTTGCAATGTTGTATCTCGACTCCGTCGTACTGCTGATGTTTGCTGCATGGCGTTCGCTATTTGCGCTGTGTTAGTTTTGCTGTATACGCTGTCAAGTCATGTTTTACATGCATATACTTTGATTATACATGTACGCTGTTTTTGCATGCTATATATAGCTGGTATTATTAGTGTTAGTTAGATTCAATGGAAGTCAAAATATACTGTTGAGAATAAATTAATAGTTGTCATCGTGCCGTGTGGTCGTTCGTTTCTGATACTAAAGAGAACCAAAGGGTTCATTACAGTTTGCGACCACGCCAGGATACGGAGCGAGCATGGCAGAGCAACTACATAATTTGGAAGCCAGCTTTATCGCCAATGGAGTTCGGTTAGGATTGGAAGGCGATGAGTTGAGGGAACATTTGGAGCAGAGGCTCCGACAGTATGAGGAGCGTGAGGAGCGCAGTGCCAGACGGCGAGAGGAGGCGCTCTGCACCGAGTTTGAAAAAAAGCTCAAGGAGATTAAGGAGCGCATCGCCGAGGCGTATGAGGGTGAGGGCAAAGTCGCCAGTGAGAGTGCGATGGGAGGTACAGCGGAAGCTCCCAGTCACAGCGGCGGGCGTAAACCGTTGATGAAAATAATCTCATATGATGGAACGCAGTCAGGAGCGTTATCATGACCTGTTCGAGGACATCTGTTCCAAGAACGGGTTCGAAGAAAGCAAATGGCTGCTGCGATTACGCATCACGCTAGCGGGTAGCAAAGCTGAGAGGATATGACATTGTATTGGATGCAATAATTACGAGGAAGCAAAGTGAGAGTTGCTTGCCTTGCTCGGAAAGATTCCGGATAAAGCGTGGAAGACATTGCAGACAGGCAAGCAGCGGTCAGATGAGTCTTTTCACCAATACGTTGTTCATGTTTGCCGACAGGTAGAGGTAATACATGACGTGTTGGACGGAGCAGGTTACAGCCGGAAGAAACCGACTGAGATAGTAACGGACAAGAAGGTTGGATTGTGCTGTCTACACTCAGCAAGTGTGTGGCTGATGACCGGAGTGGCGCGAGTTGAGGTAAGAACTCGAAAGGCGAAGGTTCGTGTGTTCCTGGACTCCGGTGCTGAGGCGTCATTTGTGACTGCAGCGTTGGTGTCAGCAATCGATGCAGAACACGTTGGTGCTGAAAATGTAGAGGTGAAGCCGTTCGGCGCAGGGCCAACCCAACAGCGCATGGATAAATACGCCATCACAATCCAAGGTAGCTCCGCTAACATTCAGGTATGCGCGCTCGTGAAACCAACGCTAGAGCTAGACCTGAAGTGCGCGAGTCTGCAGACCATTGCTCAGTGGAACAGTTGGGGAGTAGAGCTGAGTGACGAAATACACATGCTGATCGGTGCAGAATATATCAACGCGATACAGCACAGCAAGAAAGAAGTTAATGGCGAGACTGTGTGGAACACAGAGATCGGTAGTGTAGTATCTGGTCCAGCGTCTGCACCCAGTCGGTGACTGTGTCATGTGTCACAGCCCATATCGACAAACTATGGCAGTTGGATCAACCTCCAGAACGACATCAGCACTTGCCATCTTTCCCGCTATGTCGCCAGGGCGCCGGGTTCCAAGTGGGTCTCTTGTGGCAAAATGAGCGTCGCCCAACGGATAACTATGCTCAAGCTAGAGTCATCGCAACGCGGCTTCTGGAAAAGCTGAAGCGGAATGGGAAGCGTACACTCTATGATGATATGCTGGTCAGGGACTACCACGCGCTTTGAGCAATTTAGTTGGAGCCATGTGAAAGCGATGCCGGGCACTATGTACCGCATCATGGTGTATTCCGCAAGCACGCTGCAACCACGAAGTTAAGAGTGGTGTTCAATGCCTTGGCGACGGCTCCAGATGGCAAGTCATTGAACAACATGGTTGACCCTCGACTGTCGCTATTGCCGAGTCTTGCGGGTATGCTATTAAGGTTCCGTGAATATAAGAGCGCGCTGCAAGCGGACATCCGCAAGGCTTTTCATGGTCAAGGTTAATCCCGAAGACCGTCCGTACCTGCGTTTCTTGGGGCTTGGTCGAAGCGACAGTGACGAACTGTTAACCTGGAGGCTAACGAAACTGTCATTTGGCATAAATTGCTCGCCATACATGCTTACTGCGGTGATTCAGCATCACTTCAAGGAGCTACGGGCGCTGTCTCCACCCAAAGAGCGAGACCGTATTGATCTCTTGCTCACGAGTTTCTACGTTGACGATTTGGTCTCTAGTGTCTGAAATTCCCCGTAAGCCAAGAAGATGCAAGAGTTCAGTGTGCGTGTGCTTACAGATGCTGGCAATGGAGTTGCGCAAGTGGAAATACCGTGCGATCCAGAGGCCGGAGATAAAGTCCTCGGTCTGAAATGGAAAACTTGTGATGACCTGCTCAGCTTAGCAGCGATAGGCGAGCCCGATAGGCCACCTGTTACCCAGCGATCCCTCCTTAAGTGTGTTGTGTCAGTGTTTGATCCGGTAGGTCTAGCAGCACCGGCAGTTGTGCCGGGAAAGATACTGGTACAGCAAGCCAGAAAATTCGGAGGCGACTGGGATGATAAGTTGCCTGATGACATCGCAGCCGCATGTGCGCAATGGTGGCGAGAGTTGGCCGAAGTGGTGAGCATTGACATACCACGTTGGATTTGCTTCAATCTTGACATGCCGATTGCGCTTCATGCCTTCGCGGATGCC